TGTGTGTGTGTGTGTGGATTTGTGGACTTGTGCCTTCCCCCTTGGACTTTGTGATCCTGTGCCTAAATTGAACAGTACCAGACTCAAGAGAACTTCACATTTGGTGGGAGTGGGGACCTGGGGAAGGTGAGGAGACCCAGGAGACAGAGGAGGAGGAGGAGGAGGCCGTGTGCAGCCTTCATGGTGCCCAAATAGCAGGAATGCCAGGCTGGATTGGACGGAAGGAGCCCTGCTTTGAGGAATCTAGAAGATACCTTGCAGGAACCAGAGGAAGAAATGGAAGGATGTTGAGATCTCTTTCTCAATGCAAGGGACTGTTGGCTTTGCCCACATCAGGAAGAGTCAATAGATGGGGTAACACCTGTCATCTGTATCAAGGGAGTCCTGTTGTGTTTGGACTGGTGAGCCCTGGGCTGTTGCTTCTTCCTGGATCTTGACTTACGCAATGTCATCCTGGGTTGCAAAACAAGTTTGCATGTTGGCATCACAAATTGTACCCTGACAAAACGGGATTGGAAGGGTCATGCTGAGAGAATCACACGCCTCGCCTCATGGTCCCAGCTGCAAATTACGAGGGTCCATCTGTGTCCTGCAGCTGCAAGGGGGCATTTGGTAGATTCTGGAAGAGTTTCATCTCCACTGTGGAAATTGATGGGTGGAGGGTGGAAATGGATGCTTTTTGATCAATTATTCTCCACTAACAAACAATTTGGTTTCAGAAAAAAAATATCCTGTAATCTGCAACTCCTACCCTGCAAAAACATATGGACTTCACAAGTCAGCCAGGGCAAAGCAATAGACACTATTTACCTAGACTTCTGTTAAGACTTTGATTCAGTGGTACATGACAAACTACTTCTAAAACCAAAATCTTACAGTATCTCTGGACACCTACATAACTGGATAGCTGCATTCCTGTCAAACTTAGGCAACCAATGATCAAAATAGGAAGCAGCCTATCAAATCCCATACCTGTTAACCGTGGTGTCCCCCAAGGCAGCGTGCTAGGACCTACTCTCTTTATACTTTACATAAATGACCTTTGTGATCAAGCTAAAAGCAACTGCCTTCTTTTCGCAGATGATGTAAAACTATTCACGACCACCGACAATGCTTCTATCCTTCAAAAAGACCTTGACTATGTGTCAGAATGGTCAAGCAAGCGGCATCTTCAAATCTCAACAAACAAATGCTCTGTCTTACATATTGTCAAAAAAAAAATCAGAAAATAAAATACAAGCTGGACAGACAAGACCTTGTGGATGACCCTCATTTGTCAAGGACCTTGAAGTTCTCATCTCTGATGATCTGAGTGCTGGAGCCCACTGTAACAACATAGCCAAAAAGACATTAAGAGTTGTTAACCTAATCCTACGAAGCTTTTTCTCCAGTAATATTGTACTACTAACTAGAACATACAAAACATTGGCTAGACCACTTCTCAAATACAACTCATCTGTCTGGAATCCGCATTGCATATCAGACATTAATGCAGTCTAGAGAGTCCAGAGATATTTCACGAGAAGAGTCCTCCACTCCTTTACTCCTCTACTCACAACAGAATACCCTATACCTCCAGACCTGAAATTTAGGCTTAGATAACTTAGAACTATGCTGCCTTCAGTCTGACCTAAGCATAGTACATAAACTTATCTATTGCAATGTCCTACCCGTCAATGACTACTTCAGCTTCAACCACAACAATACAAGAGCACACAAGGTAAATTGTACCAAACTCGATTGCAGGAAATACGACTTCAGCAACAGATTGGTCAATGTCTGGAATACTCTACCTGACTCTGTGGTTTCTTCCTCAAACCCCCAAAACTTTAACCTTAGACTGTCTACTCTTGACCTCACCCCTTTCTCAAGGGGTCTGTAAGGGGGCCTGCATAAGCGCACCAACGTGCCTACCGTCCCTGTCCTAATGTCCCCTTTTTATTTGTATCCATTTCATGTATTCATAACCATGTTTATACTTATACCTGTTATCTAATACTTGCTTGACAAAATAAATAAATAAAATAAATAAGCAAACAGGAGACCTCAAATCCCCAGATGAAGATGAGAAGAAACATTGGCAGCTGGTTGCTGCCAATCATGTATTCATAATCATGTATATACTTATATCTGTTATCTGATACATGCTTGACAAATAAATAAATAAAGATCTGCTGAGAAATTAATTCCTGCCCATTGTGGAAGTTATCGGTGAATTATGAACAGAAGGCTTGCAAAGGAGACATTTCATGAACACCTATAATAACATATGCCTAAAACATATACATTCTACATGCATAAAACGTTCTCATCTATCTAATTATTATTTTTCTGCCATTCCATTTTCTTGTTCTCTAAATTTGCTCATTTTCTTGCAGATGTTTCATTACCCATCTAGGGAACAACATCAGTGCTAGAAGAGAGGGGTTTTTGGAGGGGGAGGGGGAAGGGGAGGGAGACTTGGTTATCATGCATGGACTTTGAAGTGTGCCTGGATTTCAGAGGTTGTGTGTCTGGATTTGTGGACATTTGCCTTCATTCTTGGACTGTGTGACCCTGGGCCTAGATTGAACAGTACCAGACTCAACAGAACTTCACATTTGGTGCAAGTGGGAACCCGGGGAATAAGGCTAGGGTCTCGGAGTGCCTCTTGTGTGAAGGGACGGACTGGAACACAACAAAAGGGACCTGCCTAGCTTTCCCCAAATTGGCCAGCCAATGCAACTCTGAACGTTGTCATCTCATGTTCAACCAACTTATGAAAGAGAAAAGAATTCAAATTGTCTCTGCATTAAGTCATCCCGCTTCCTGGATCTGGAGTTGTGAAATTCCCAGTGGGGAGAATAAATAGAGCCAGCAGCCCAAGGGTGGTGCAGACGGCTTCATCATGTCTTCTGGAGGTCTTCTTCTTCTGCTGGGACTCCTCACCCTCTGGGCGGAGCTGACCCCCGTCTCCGGCCAGGACCGTCCAAGTGAGCTTTCAGAAAGATCTGGAGACCCTTGGAAGGGAGGGGCTGAAGTGATCCGAGTTCTCCCCCAGGGAAGGGAAACCAAAGAGCCCCGTCTAGAACCTCTGGCTTGGTGGGGCTTCTCCCGGGGAGGTTCTTGAGATGGTGGTTGGGTGTCAGCTGAACAGGAGACAGAAATGGGAGGGGGTCCCAGGAAAGAGAGATGCAATTTTAGGGGAAGGCCGACCTATCTTGACTCAATGCAGCAGAAGAATCAAGATTTTAAGCAACAAGAATTATCCCATCAGCCATCTGATCCAAACCCCAGAACAGGAAACCAAACTGAGACATCCCAGGTGGTTCTTATTTTCTTGCAATCTGAACACGCTAAGACAGCGCCAGGTTGGGGAAGTGAGTTAAAGATTTTTGTGCTAGCGACTCAAATAATGTTCCCGCTCCCCTTTCCATTTTTCACAGAGTATTGTTATCTCCCTCCTGACCCCGGACGATGTAAAGGCTATTTCCCTCGCTTCTACTACAACCCGGCTTCAAACCAATGCCTCGTGTTTATTTATGGGGGATGCCAGGGCAATGCCAACAGGTTTAAGACCAAAGATGAATGCCACCGCACCTGTGTTGGTAAGTAGGTAAGGAGTTGTGGACTGGCCTCTTCATTGAAAAGGAATTGCTGCCTCTTTACATTAAGCATAAGATGGGTTAATGGAACATCGTGACTCTCACAACAGGCTACGATTGATTCAGTAGAAAGGAATCTTTGCTACTCAGGTTGAACTCTCAGGTTGAAATGGGGAGGAGGGGGGTGCACATTTGCACCCCCAGCATTCTGAGTTAAGAGAGAGGAACCCAGTTATAAAGTCCAGCCCTGGGTCCAGAGAGGTCGACTCCAAAAGGAAATTGCTGTGCTTTGTGGGTAAGGGGAGGAGGTGGGAATCCGGCTCCAACCGGCAGCATCTTATCTGGACAGAAGGAGAAGTTTTGGATCCTGAAAGGTCCAGGGACGGGATCTTTCTTGATCTGGGATTCCAATTCCAGAGGATTCTCTCAGCCATGGGATCTTCTCTTTTGCAGAAAAACGTCTCCAGGGGTGGGATTCTACCAGTTCGTACCTATTCGCTAGAACCAATTGTTAACATTCTAAGCAGTTGGGAGAACCGGTTGTTAGAAGAAATTACTGGGCTAATCCTGTAAGGAAGGGGAGAAGGAAACATTCTGGTGTTGCTTGTAGAAACTGCCTCTCCATTAACCTTTATTACGTTCTTGGCAGGACTAGACTTCCTGTCTCTGGAACTTCTCTGGAGTTTTTTTCCCCTCCTTTGCTGGTACTTTGCTTGGGTGGAGGGACCATTCAAAGTTACAGTGGCATTGAAAAAAGTGACTTGTGACCATTTTTCACACTTACGACTGTTGCAGCACCCCCACAGTCATGAGAGGCCAGGCGAGGAGATGCGTGCCTCAATGTGAGTGATATGGAGTTGGCCACGCCCAGCCAATAACATGACCACCAAGCCATGTCCACCCAGTCACCTGACCACCAAGCTACTACCACACCTAAGCCACGCCCACAGAACCAGTTGTTAAAAATTTGAATCCCACCCCTGAGTGTGTCCCCAGGGCCCTCAACAACAACAGCAACAAAAACTTCCTTGTCTTGAGAAGTGTCAACATGACTGGAACTGTCCTGGGCAGCAGAAGTGTTGCTGCTACAGTTGCCTGTCTGAGTGCAGGGACGTTGTCTATACGATGCATGGTAGCTCCAGTACATTGTCCCTTGTGCGGTCTGCTTAGACCAAATCAGAGGTGGTATTCAGCGGGGTCTGACCTGTTCTGGGGAACCAATAGTGGAAATTTTGAATAGTTCAGAATCCCGCCTCTGACTGGCCTCACCCCCATCTCTTCTCTGCCTCCCATCGAGTCCCAGCTGATTGGCTGGATCTCCTTTGGTTGCCCTGCACAGGAGAACGGAGCTGGAAAGCGGGCTAGTGGGGTGGGGAGGGAATGGAGATTTTGCAGTAACCTTCCCCTGCCACGCCTACCAAGCCCACACAACCGGCAGTAATTTTTTTTTGAATCCCACCACTAGAGCAAAGGAATTGCCGTGTGGTGTCTCTCAGGCCTAGATGTGTCTTGGGCACATGAATGTATCTCCAGGGTCTTTCAGGCTGATGCAGCTCCAGGCTCTTGTCCATCAAAGGTAGAGTAGATATAGAAAGGGATGATGCCCTGACACTCAAACATTTCATTTATTTATTTATTTTGCCAATTGCTTAGATAATAGGTATAAGTAAAAACATAGTTATGAATACATGGATACGTATAAGAAAAATAAAAAGGAAACAATAGGACAGGGACAGTAGGCACGTTGGTGCGCTTATGCATGCCTCCTACTCCTCTTAGGAAAGGGGTGAGGTCAATAGGAGACAGTCTAAGGTTGAAGTTTTTGGGGTTTGGGGAAGAAACCACAGAGCCAGGTAGAGGATTCCAGACATTGACCCCTCTGTTGTTGCTGAAGTTGAAATAATGCCTTGGTGTAGTCCTGTGGGGCCCTCCTCCTTAATAGTATCTACCCCCACTTTGTGGAAGTTCTCAGGCTAACCCATCACTTCCTCTGCCACTGTCTCTTGACTTCTCCTCCTGAACAACCATGGGTTGTTGGAGAAGATGTTGGAGAAGACATTGGAGAAGATGTTCCTCCTGCCAGCCTGGCCAGGAATCCAGGTGGCTCCAGGCAATGAGGACTTCCAGGGGAAGGAGAGGCTGGGACGGGACACTTTGCTCACCCTGGTCCAGCTCATGCTCTGGGCAGGCCACAGCTGGTCCATGTTTAGGTGACAGGAAGGTCCATCACTTCATCTGGGGAGGGAAAGACAAGCTCGTATTTCTGAGTGTAAGAAATGCTCCCTGTCCAAGTTAGGAAACTCAAGTGAACGTGCCCAAGCAGTGGCCTTGAGGTGTCCTAGAAAGAGAGGATGGGGGAAAGACCCTGGAGGTCTTCTAGTCCACCCTCCTTCCAGGAAAGAAAATCCTCAGCATCCTGGACAAACAAATCTCCCACCTTTGCTTTGTCATGGAAGAGAGGGAGTCAACCTCTTTCCAAAAGCCCCAGAAGACGAGGCAAGAAAGAAGGAATAAAACCCGATCAAGGAGAACAGCAACTGAGAACTAAAGGTCTGTGGAGATTGGGGACAACCTAGAAGTAAGAGGAAACTTCCTACAAGTGAGAACAATTAACCAGTGGAATAACTTGCCACCAGAAGTTATGGGTGCTCCATCAGTGAACGCTTCCCAAAAGAGACTGGATAGCCATTGTCTGAAGTGGTGCAGGGTCTCCTGCTTGAGCAGGGGGTTGGACTAGAAGATCTCTGAGGTCCCTTCCAACTTTGTGATTCTGTATTCTACTTGAAGGCCCCAGTGGTGGAGCCCCATAACTCCAACGGAGAGGCTGCCCCATCGCTTCCCTTCTCTCCCAATCAGGACATTCCTCCTGATTTCAGCTTTGGGTCTCCATGGTTCTAAGATGAGGCAGGGAGAAGCACAGGGTTCAATTCTGGGCAGAAACCTCATATCTGAACGTTTCTTTTTACAGGATCCCCAACGAAGAGACCCTCCCGGATTGGAACAACTGTTCGAACTTGACCCAAAGAGTCTTCTTCAGTCCTGGACCACCCCAGAGACCCTCCCCCCAAGCCCCACCCTGGGCTCATTCCTTTCTTTCTGCAATAAAGCTTTGGTTCCAGCTGCCCTCTCGGTCTCATGTGTCTCCTTTGGCCCCTTTGGGGGTTTCCCCTCCCCCTTGATCCATGTCCCCCCCCCCGAGGATGAGGGGTTGAGAGGAAGCGCATCGTTCCTCAATGTGGCTCTCCAGAAAGAGTGCGCAGAGGAAGGAAGAGTGCCTTTATTCAACGAAGGGGAACAGAAAAGAAGAAAAACAGGAAAAGAACACAGCAGGAAAAACATTAGATACAGGAGGGTTTCTTATGGGTGTAGATACACGTTTACTTTACACGTAATAGTTGTCCATGCAAAGTCTCCTTTGCCCGCCACCTGCTTGTAAGTCATCAGTAACGTCAATTCCTGGGAGGAGAACCCAGAGCCTCTGCAGCAGAATTGCTCCCTTGGGCCCCTTCTGATGTCCCCCAAGGCTCCTCAAAGGCCTTAGTTGTCTTCTCTCCAGAATGGCCACTCCAGGATCTTCAGCCTGTTCCCATGGCCACGTCCAGGAGGCTCCGGGTCACCTGGCAGACCCATCAACGGTCAGAGGGTTGAAAAGAGTTCCGGTCTCGGTTGGAGAAGAGACCATTGTCATCTCCTGCTACTTTCCCCACCTCAGATACACCAAGGGGAGCCAAATGCCCCACACCCATCTCCCTCCCTCTGCCCTCCCCCTTGGGAGGTCTTCTAGTCTTCTAGCCCTGCTCACACGAGTGGCCCAATGCCATTTCAGACAAACGGCTGCCCAATTTCTTTCTTAAACTCCTCCGCTGTTGGAACGCTCGCAACTTCCGGAAGGAAATTGTTCCACCGGTTAATTGTTCTCACTGTCAAGAAATTTATCCTCAGTTCGAGGTTGCTTCTCTCCGTGATTGGTTTCCAGCCATTACTTCTTGTAATGAGGTAATTGTGGATTTTATTTCTTTCTTCCAGAGGATAAACTGTCCCGTGCGATCAATTTGCATTGCCTCCCTCTCTTTGCCCAAGGATTCAGAGCTTCATCGAATAGCAGAGGACCCAAGAGAAACCCTTGTGGCCCCACCCTTGGTGTCTCCTGGTGGGTCCTTGGCGTCCTGAGAATCTGGTTTGCATATTGATCACGTTTCACTGCCGTTCTTGGCAACGTCCTCAGGGCAGATAGATTGGTCCATGAATAGGAAGGGTTGGCACACAGCGGCTTCTCCTGCCCGCTTGGGGTATTGATTGTTCCTCTTTCATTAACCCTCTTCCTCCTTAACCGGGGTTGCTTAATAGATGTGAGGTGGGTGAGGGAGAGGCTCTCTGGGCTGATCAGGGCAGGCAGAAGACCCAGAAGAAATCCTTAAATTTCACAAGGCAGAGAGAACTTCGACTGCACTGAGAGATGGAACACGATTTGGATGAAGCAAGATCTGATAAGGTAGAAATTTCCTACAAGTTGTGGCCTCATCGATTCCAAACATTAAAAACAACAGTCAAATAACAATTGCTTGGGTTTTTACAAAATTGCAATTGGTGTGATAGGGCTGCTTGGTTGCACTTGAAATGTGGGGAGGGAGACCGGGTTGACACTGTCAGGTAAACATGAGGGAATAATTTGATCTTAGAAAAATTATCAGTATAAAAGGCGGCGGGGGAGAGAATGAGATTGCTGTAGGCATATACCACAGGCCATCGCAACTCTTTACTAATCTCTTTACTATTCTTTACTGATCGTGGTTGATATGACAGCAATATTTCAGTAGTTGAGAGGCTGCCATAAAGAAGAGGGGGTCAAATTATTTCCCAAAGCACCAGATGGAAGGACAAGAAATAATGCTCGGAAACTAATCCAAGCGAGAAGCAACATGGAATTAAGGAGAAACTTTCTAACAGTGAGGACAATGAACCAGGGGAACAGCCTGCCACCAGAAATCGTGGGCGCTCCATCACTGGAGATTTTTAAGAAGAGACTGGACAGTCACTTGTCTGAGATGGGATAGTTTCTCCTGCTTGAGCAGGGGGCTGGACTAGAAGACCTCCAAGGTCCCTTCCAGCTTATTCCATTTTATTCCATTCTATTCTTCTAATCAATTAACGAACGTATATAGGAAATATACCACATTAGTAATGGGAAACTTTAACTACCCTGATAGCAACTGGGAGACCGACTCTACAATAACTGGGGGATCAAACAGATTCCTAACCTATGTAGCTGACAACTTTGTCACCCAAAAAGTAGAGGAAGGAACTAGAGGAAAACCTATACTGGATCTAATTTTACCACTAATAGAGAAGAAGTGATAGAGAGAGTTGAAGTTTCCAGAACACGGGCGAAAATGACCACGTCATATTGGAATTCAATGCAAACACAAGCATGATCCAGTCAGTATCTTAAACTTTAAAAGAGCTAATTTAAAAAAAAAACTCAGAAAAAAACTAGGAAATATTCCATGGATGAAAATCCTATAGGGGAAAACAATGCAAGAAGTGTGGGAAACACTGAAAAAAATGATCATAAAAACCCTGTCCAACACAATGCCACTGAAAAAGAAAAACAGGAAATCCAATAGGAAAAAAAATTCAGCCTCGTTGCACAAAGATTTCTCTGATAAACTGAAAGAGAAAAAGGACAAGTACAAAAAATGGAAAGAGGGACACGTAACTGAAGGAGGATATCAGCAGGTAGCCTGAATCTGCAAAGATGAAATCAGGAAAGCAAAGGCACAGAATGAATGAAGACTTTCAACAAAAAGCAAAGATAATAAAAACACAAATAATCAGAAAAAAATCAATATAACACAGTCCATTCAAGAGAGAAGATGGCAAGGAAGTAACAGGCAGCAGAGAGAAAGCGGAGCTGCTTAACTCATTCTATGCATGCAAAATTAAACTTTAGCCCAACCTGCCAAAAACGTAACTGTAAAAGACAGACGAGAAATAAAAATTAAGATAAGCAAAAAAATGGTAAGAGAGCACCTGTCTGATCTTGATGAATATAAATCACTGGGGCCTATGGATTACACCCCAGAGTTCTGAGGGAGCGGGCAGACGTTATTTCAGAACCATTGTATCAAATCTTTCAAAAATCCTGGACAGCAGAACTACAAGAATTGGACTGGAAACGAGCTGGTGTGGAAAAAGAAAAGGAAAAAAAAAACTACAGACCAATCAGTCTAACTTCAGTACCTGTAAAGATACTGAACATCTAGAAACAAATATTGTTATAACTAGACACCAGTGGGGGGGTTGTTAAAAAACAGATCATGCCAAACCAATCTTATTTCATTCTTTGATAAAGTAACTAAATTAGTAGACCGGTGAAATGCTGTGGACATAATATATTTAGAGTTCAGCAAAGCATTCAACAAAGTAGACCACAACCTTTTTATTTATTTTTTAATAAACTAGAAAGTAAGGAGAAACTTCTGAACAGTGAGAACAATGAACAATTAACCAATGGAACTGATTGCCACCAGAAGCTGTGGGTGTTTCATCAATGGAGGTTTTTAAGAAGAGACTGGACAGCCACTTGTCTGAACTGGTATAAGGTGGTTAGACTAGAAGGCCTCCAATGAACCTTCCACCTCTGTTCTGATTGATTGATCTCCAGGGGTCCCTTTTCCAAGGGATCCCATTTCATTTGCATAGAAAAGGAATGTCACAATGACCATATCCAGGAAGATGTAATAACAGGGAACGTGACAACAGGGCCCTGACTAGCCTTCCCCAAAGTGGCCACCTATCCAGATTCCCAGATTCTCAGATTCTCCATCTTGTGAAAGGGGAAGGAATTTGGATTGTCACTGCATGAAGTCATCCTGCTTCCTGGATCTGGAGGTGTGAAATTCCCAGTGGGGAGAATAAATAGAGCCAGCCGCCCGAGGGTGAGGCAGATGGCTTCATCATGTCTTCTGGAGGTCTTCTTCTCCTGCTGGGACTCCTCGCCCTCTGGGCGGAGCTGACCCCCGTCTCCGGCCAGGACCGTCCAAGTGAGCTTCCAGAAAGATCTGGAGACCCTTGGAAGGGAGGGGCTGAAGAGATCAGAGTTCTCCCCCAGGGAAGGGAAACCAAAGAGCCCCGTCTAGAACCTCTGGCTTGGTGGGGCTTCTCCCGGGGAGGTTCTTGAGATGGTGGTTGGGTGTCAGTTGAACAGCAGACAGAAATGGGAGGGGGGTCCCAAGAAAGAGAGATGCAGTTTTAGAGGAAGGCTGACCTATCTTGACTCAACGCAGCAGAAGAATTGGGATTTTAAGCAACAGGAACCATCCAGTAAGCCTACAGTCTGACTCAAGAAACCAATTTAAAACATCGCAGATAGCTCTTGAACATTTGCAATCTGAGCATGTGAAGGGGGCACCAGGTTAAAGACTTATTTTGCTATCCAATCAAGTAACACCGCATTTCCCTTTCCATTTGTCACGTAGTTTTGTTATCTTCCGGCTGATCCCAGAACATGTAAAATCAACGCGAGTGCTTTCTACTACAACTCAGCATCAAACTCATGCCAAGAGTTTCTTTATGGTGGATGCAAAGGAAATTCCAACAGGTTTGAGACCAAAAGTGAATGCCACCACACCTGTGTTGGGAAGGAGTTGTGGACTGACCTCTTCACTGAAAAAGAACCGTTGCCTCCTAAAATTAAGCATAGGGTGGCTTAATATAATATCCCGGTTCTCCCAACAGGCTATCATTGCTTCAGTAAGAGGGAATATTTGTTGTTTAGGGTTGATGTGTGGGGTCCTTGGTGGGTTTCTTGCAGATATTTTATTAGCCAATTAGGAGACACATCATCAATGATAGAAGAGAGTGGGCTTTGCAGATAGGAGGACGAAGAAGAGCAGGAGGAAGAGGAGGAGGAAGAGAAGGAGGGGAGGAAGGAAGGAAGGAAGGAAGGAAGGAAGGAAGGAAGGAAGGAAGGAAGGAAGGAAGGAAGGAAAG